CGTCCGATTTTCGGTAAATAGTGCATCAAAGTCCCTATATATCCTTCGAATTGCATGAAATTTGGCATAGCGTACTGAATTAAGCCTAGAACGATGTGTATTAAATTTTGTGAAAATCGGTTCAGATTTAGATATAGCTCCCATATATATTTTCGTCCGATTTTAGGTAAATAGTGCACTAAAGTCCCTATATATGCTTCGATTTGCAAGAAATTTGGCACAGCGTACTGAATTAAGCCTAAAACGATGTGTGTTAAATTTCGTGAAAATCGGTTCAGATTTAGATATAGCTCCCAAATATATTTTCGTCCGATCTAAGGTAAATAGTGCACTAAAGTCCCTATATATCCTTCGATTTGCACGAAATTTGGCACAGCCTACTGAATTAAGCCTAGAATGACATGTGCTAAGTTTCGTGAAAATCGATTCAGATTTAGATATAGCTCCCATATATAGTTTCGCCCGATTTAAGGTAAATGTCCCTATATATCTTTCGATTTGCACGAAATTTGGTACAACCTACTATATTAGGTCTAGAATGATGTGTGCTAATTTTCGTGAAAATCGGTTCAGATTTAGATATAGCTCTTATATATAGTTTTGCCCGATTTTGGGTAAATGGTGCACCAAAGTCCCTGAAAATCATTGGATTTGCACGAAATTTGGCATAGCGTATTGATCTTTTGGCATGAATTTTGGTATAGCTTACTAATTTAGGTATAGAATGATGTGTGCTAAGTATCGTAAAAATCGGTTTAGATTTAGATATAGCTTTTCGGATACATATGTAGAATATACCCAAAGTGGTGAAGGGTATCATCTAGTCGGCCCAGTCCGACTTCACTACTTTCCTTACTTGTTTTTCCTTGTATTGTCTCCATGAAAACAATAATCCGCCATGACGCCTAAACACCTTCCATTGTTCCTTAATGCTTTAATCCATCAATACCCCATTCCATTTTCCAATAATTTCATATTCGATTTATTACTTTTCTAATATGACAAATATGTTGTATCATCTAACAGCGGAAAATATCTCCACTCAATATTTCAACAGAAAAAATATATGTTTCCTTCTTTCTTCATTTCATTCCTTGGAATATTTCTTGTGAATACAATGTACTTACCTTGTTTCCTGCTAGACAACAAAAGGTGTTTTTTTTTTTCATTTTCCTTTTTATTGGATTTTTATATTTTCTTCGTGGTCTTTGTTTTTCGTTCACTTTCTTTACTTCGAAGAAGAGCTATAAAATGAATAACCCAGCAGATTCTGTACGATATTAAATGTTATGAAGAAACGCGTGAATTATTAAGAAATATTACTACAATGTAGATACAATAGTTGGCGATGTTATATCCACACCTAGAAATGTGCGGAAATATTGCATTTAAGTTTTTTTTTTTCTTTTTCGAAAGTACAGGCAAGGCCGCAAGCGATTATTCGCAGAAAATATTTTCAACTAATAAATTTAAGGGGTTTCGTAGTAGCTTTTTTTAGAAATAATAAAGCAAATGAAAAAGGATAACATGGAACAGCTATATTATATGATCCCTAACAGGATGTCGGGGAATCTGTTCAAAGGAAATGGAAGCTTTTCAATAAACAACAGGAGATTTAATAAGAAAATGTTTTCAAAGACCATATTGGATTAGATTTTTTCAACAATATTTTTCAATGGTAATAGAGGCTTGAATGTAAAAAAAATATTTTTTCACGGACTACTAAAAGGCGAGCATTTTTTAAAAATATGTTTTCAACGATCTTGATTTTAAAAATATGTTTTTTTAAGGACGATAAGAGCCACGTGGGTGGCGTAGCGGATGATAGATACCAAGCAACGGCTCTGATTGGCTTTAACATGGCGAAGGCCAGGCTTTTCTTGGTCCTTCTTTCATCTCAATTGCGACACTGACCTCCCCGTGGTGCCACAAGGGCTAGCTATTTTCATCACCCGATGAAATAGTGAGATAATATGTGCTGCGAGTTTACCCATAAGAACTATATACCAGTGAGCGGAGCAGTATAGTCGGACGGGACCGACCATATGATACCCTACACAACTTCCACAAAAATCTAACTTTCTGTGGTTCTATATTAGAGGTCAACCAATATTACTAATATGCAGAACAACCCTTTTAATTTCTTGGCCAAATTCTCTTCACCGTGGGTTGTCTTGCGATGTTAGGCCTTCAATTCTAGCCTATAGATCGACTCGAAATAATACAAAAACTTAAGTTCTCGGTCCAGTTCATCCCAAAATTATTATCTGATCATCAGCGAAAATTATAGGCGTTGTCCTTGACCATACATGGATCCTAATGGAAAATTTTAAAGCGATCAGAGCTATATTTCCGCCCTCTAGTGTGATAATGGGTTACTAAATAATATCTGATACCAATTATATCTGACAATATAATTGGTATCAATTTAAAGGTCAACCAATCCTCTTGAATATACTATCAACTTCTCGGGTCTATGTCCTTCGGGAGTTAATATAGACGCCATAGAATACCAATTTTGTAATTTTACACACAAAAGTCAGGGTCCATTTGACCCGCTAAATATTGGCCGATCTTTATTAAAACAGGCATGCTAATTCTTTGGCCCGATCCCCTCCACCATTAAAAATTTCACGATGTTCGGGCCATAATTGCGGCCTCTGGAGCGACCAGAAAAACCGACAAAAATTTAGTATTTGGTACATTTCATCCCCTAAATATTAACCGATCTTTACCAAAAAATAGGGGTCTTCATTGGCCAGAACCCATCCTTCATGCAAAATTTCGTGAAGATTGGTCCATAACTGTGGCCTGTATCGGGTTTACAAATTATAATGAACAGACGGACGGACGGACGGACGGACACACATGTCTAGATCGACTCACCTAGTCGAGATATGACGATCGGTATACATAAAGGTGGGTCTAGGACCAATATTTCGCGGCGTTACAAACTCTTGGGGCTGCATAAAGCTATAATACCCTGACAACATGGTTGTGTAGGGTATAAAAATGGGTTGAGGCGACGGGTTAGTTGTCCACACTCGAAAAACAGAAACTACTATGAAAAAGCAAAGAAAAAGAAAACCTAACCAAGCTAATGTTGACGACCCCCGCAAACGTATAAGAGACCATGATCTGTGAATCTGCACTTAGAATATGCGCACGATGTACAGAACAGGCGCAGTGTTCGCTTTGGCGGTTGTACTCAAGAAGTACAAAGTCGATATTATTGCTTAGAGGAAATGGAAAGGGACTGGCGTAAATAAATCAGATGATTATGCCCTGTATTATAGCTGCCATGAAACAAGACGCGAATTTGCCTGAGGATTTATGGTTAACAGGAGAATAAAAGACTTCGTCTCCAAATTAACTCCAGTAGATGAGCAAATTGCTAAATTCCGTATAGAAGCGAGGTTCTTCTACATCAGTCTCATTTGCGCCCATGCTCTGACCGAAGACAAGTATGAGCAGAACAAAGACATATTTCACTAGCGCCTAGAAACAGCATATGACCGTTGCCCTGACCATGACATTAAAATTCTGCTAGGAGATTTTAATGCAAAAATCGGAAGGAAAAATATCTTTGGCTCCACCGTCGGAAAATTTAGCCTTTGGTTGACTTCGCGGCAGCAAAAACATGGTAGTTAGCAGCACCAGATTCAAGCAGCAATACCCTAGGCCTCTTGGATTTCTCCCGATCGAATCTTGTGATAGACGTAAGGCATTCATCCAGTGTACTAGACGTTCGACCGATCCGAGGTGCGAATGTCTATTCTGACCATTACCTTGTGGCAGCCATGGTACGTACCCATCTTAATGTTGCAGCAAAGGTGCGATCTAATGTAACACGGAAATTTTACGTCGAAAATCTGCAAACACAACAGATAGCAGAAGCCTACTCCGCTCAACTTACCCAACTGCTTGACGAAAGCACTTCTTGTCCCGATAATAGTATAGAAGCACAATGGCAAAGATTTACCCACTCCCTACAAACTGCAGTAAAAGCAACACTTGGGTACCAAAGACCACCCTCAAGAAATCCGTGGTACGATCAGGAGTGTCGTAATGGTACTGAAATGAAAAACGCAGCGTATATGGTAACCCTTCGGACAGGAGAAAAGAGAGAGGAGAAACGCATTTTCAGAAAAAAAGAAGAAATAATAAGAAAAACGTGAGCGTGAGCAAATCGAGATGTATAGGAGTCAGAATGAAGTCCGGAAATTTTACCAATGGGTAGAACACCAAACCGAAGGCATTGGTGCAGGCACATCCTCCTGTAGAGATAAAGAAGGAAACCTGGTGATAGATACAGACATCGTCACGATGAATTAAGAGTAGCAATTAATCGGCTGAAGAATAATAAAGCAGCAGTTGTCGATGGGTTACAAGCCGAACTATTCAAGACTGTTGGTCAGATGCTGGTAAGGAGCATGCACCAGCTGATTAGTACAATTTGGCTAGATGTATGCATGCCCAATGATTGAAACCTCAGCATCCTGTGTCCCGTGCACAAAACAGGATACAAGACGATATGTGCCAACTATAGAGGAATAAGTCTCCTTCCCATCGCATATATAGTGCTATCCAGCGTACTGCGTGAACGACTGAAGCCAATGGTCAATGACATTATTGGACCATGCCAATGCGGCTGCAGACCAAGCAAATCCACCATTGACCAGATTTTTACTCTGCTCCAAATCTTGGAAAACAACCCACGAAAACACATCGACACATTCCACCTATTCCATCGAGAGGTGTATATAGCCATGTCTGCGTTTGGTATTCCTGCAAAATTAATACAGCTATGTAGGAAAACTTTAACTGGCACCAGAAGCAGCAGTTAAAGTCGGAAAGGACCTCTCGGAGCCCTTTAATACCGAACGAGGATTCAGACAAGTTGACAGTTTGTCGTGTGATCTTTTAAACATCCTACTGGAAAATGTCATACGAGACGCAAAGTGAACAAAGTGAATGACACTCTGTACACCAAACAACACATGTTACTCGCCTATATCGACATAATAGGTCGAAAACTGAGAGCGGTTACAGCCACCATTGAACAAATTGAGAAGGAGTATGCCAAAGTAAGTCTGGCAGTAAAAGGCGAGAAGACCAAGCTGATGTTATCAATGTGCAAGACGTCTAGTAGACTCGGACCACTTGTGGAACTTGAGAAGTATAGTTTCGAGGTAGTGAAAGATTTTATATACCTTGGCACCGCCATAAACAAAAGAAATGACATTAGTTTTGAAATTCGGAGAAGGATAGTGATGGCCAACGATACTACTATGGTCTGAGCAACCAACTCAAAAGCAAGGCCACCTCCCGCCAGACCAAACTCACACACTACAAGACGCTGATAGTACCCGTGCTGTTGTATGGGTCTGAAGCATGGGTACTTACACAAGAAAATGAGGCAGCTCTTGGAGTGTTTGAGAGAAAAATTCTTCGAAAGATCTATGGGCCGATCTGCGTTGATGGTGAATATCGCCGTCAAATGAACCATGAGTTGTATTAGCTATTCTCGGACATCGACATTGTTAGACGTATTTAGCTGCAGCGACTACGTTGGCTAGGTCATGTTGTTAGAATGGATGAGGATGCCCCAGCCCTGAAGGCATATTAAAGCGAACCAGCTGATGATTCACGCAGAAGGGGAAGGCCACGAATAAGATCGAAAAACCAAGTGGTATACAATATAGCCGAATATGGTCCTTCAAATTGAAAAAAACTGCGCAAAAGACCGACGCACCTGGAAATCTTTTTTAAGCTCGGCTTATGGAACGAAAGTTCTGTCACAACCCAGCTAAGTAAGTAAGAGCCACGTTTTTCAAGGAATATTTTTCAAGGTTAATAAGAGGCGTGGATTTTTTAAAGAATATCAATTTCAAGGTCTATGTGTGGCGTGGATTATTTAAAGAATATTTTTTCAAGGACTATTAAACAGGCGTGGATTTTCAAAGAATATTTTTGCAATGAACATAGATAGGCGTGGATTTGGAAAAATATTTTTTTCAGGGAACATAGATAGACGTGGAGTTGGAAAAATATTTTTTAGGGTCTATCAAGATTTGTAAACATATATTTATAAAGGTTTGTTAACTGTCCTTAATTTTTGCAAATATTTTGTTAGGTCTATCAACAGGCGTATATTTTAAAAATATTATTTTTAAGGTTGTTATGTTCGGCTTAGTCCCTGGCTACAATAACCAATTACCACAAAACAACCCTTTTATCTCGAAGGATTTATTATTTTTCGTAATTTCAATTTTCCAAAAAAGTATCAAAAGTCTTCAAATACTGACAAAGCAAATAAGTACATGTCCTTGAAATTCACAGTATGTCCCAACAGGTTAACTCTGTAACAAGCATTTTAAACATTTACAATACAAAAACAAGTACAGAACATTCTGTTTTTGAAAGTACCTAATTTAGGAGAATTGATTTGCGTGTTGCACGCAGGCCCGTAATTGCAACTGACATATGTTTTTTTATTGTGTATACACAAATACAACTACGTAGTTTGCTTGTTTGTGACACAAACATTAACAGTAGCAATTTGTTGTCTCTTTGATATGTTTCATTAACTGTCATCGAAGTTCGACAATGCCATTGGTGCAGACTATTGCTCTGCTCGGTGTCAATAATTAATAATTACAGGCACTTTTGGTAAATTAAACTTTAAAATGGAATGTCGTCATTAGCTAACCTAAATATTGACACACATGTTTGTTCAAGACACAGTAACAATTAATTTTAAAAATTACAAATAATTTTAGGGTAGAAGAATATCAGAGTAAAACGCCTTTGACATTTTATGTGTAGGAGAAAAATATTTATTTACTACATACACATTTTGAAAGGCTGGTCAAACATAATTTAATATATTGACGTACTTTTTGGAACACTAAGGTGGAATATTCTATAAATACAAACAATATTTCATATAATTACACCTATAAGTACGTCATTTCACATCATTTATATACTTTCATATATAACCAAAATTAATTGTTTATTTTTTCTTTCCAGGATTTCCTACCACGTTTGCATGGCATTGGTCTGTGTGTTGTTAATCTAATGGATGATATGCACGAATATGTCCGAGGACTATTTTTCCTAATGTAAGTATGAACGATAATTAATTCATATTTATAATTGTTGTATGTTGATGGGAGGAAGTCAAATCACTTCTAAGTTGTCAGTGCTATGGAGCGTATGACTATTTAAAGTATTCTGTTACAAAAATGTATACGCTATCGTGTATTTCCATTTCAATACTGTCTAAAAACTAAATTTTCCAAGACTAAGATATGTTTTCAAAACATATGTAAGTCTTGATTTTTAATTGTTTTCAAAGCCCAACAACAGAAGTGAATTTTTAAACCCTACACAACTATGTTGTCAGGGTATTATAGCTCTGTGCAGCCCCAAGAGTTTGTAACGTCAGGAAATATTGGTCCTAGACCTTTAAGTATACCGATCGTCATATCTCGACTAGCTGAGTCGATCTAGACATGTGAGTCCGTCCGACCGTCCGTCTGTCCATTATAATTTGTAAACACGATACAGGCCACAATTATGGGCTAATCTTCACGAAATTTTGCATGTAGGATGTGTTGTGGCCAATTAAGACCCCTATTGTTTTTGGTAAAGATTGGTTAATATTAAGGGGATGAAATGGACCACATACTTAATTTTTGGCGGTTTTTCTGAATTTGTGAATTTTTACGTGAAGAAGGGGATCGGGCCAAAGAATAAGCATGCCTGTTTTGATAAAGATCGGTCAATATTTATCAGGGTCAAATGGACCCCGACTTTAGTGTGAAAAATTACAAAATTTATATTCTGGGGGGTATTCATTTACTCCTGAAGGACATATACCCGAGTAGTTGATAGTATGTCCAAGAGGAGTATTTGATCTTTAAATGGATACCAATCATATTGTTCTGTGTACTCGGATGCGGAAGTTATACGTACATATTTATAGGTGTATTTTTATTAGTATCAATATTTCCCCACTAGAGGGTGGAAATGTAGCGCTGATCGCTTTGAAAGTTAACATGAAGTCCCGGTTATGGTCAAGGACGAAGCCTATAATTTTCGGTAATTTTAAGATAATATTGAGGGGTTGCATTGAACCGAAAACTTTATTTTTTGTCAGATTTTCTGGTCGATCTATAGTCCATTATTATATGCAGAACATTACTTATTTTACACAGTGAAGAGGATCTGACAAAATCCTTAGACCGACTCTTTAGATGATGATCGGTCTATAATCCGAGGGGCAAATCAACAAAAAAATAAAATGTCAAAATTTTTATTTGATGGCGTAAATATTCACCTTGGGAAAACAACATATGAAAACTTGCCAGGGCTAGAAAGTGGAGCTTTTCAGTGAAGAGGGTACAAATATCGCAAAATATTACCAAAGCCCGGAAAATGGATCCACAGAAACATAGAGTTCGATGAATGTTGTGTAGGTTATCATATGGTCGCGCCGTCCAACTATACTGCTCCGCTCTTACTTACATAGCTGACTTATGACAAAACTTTCGTTCCATAAGCCGAGCTTAGAAAAGATTTCCAGGCGCGTCGGTCTTTTGCGCAGTTTTTCCAATTTGAGAGACCATTTTCGACGATATTGTCTTCAACTTGATCTTTCCAACGTATCCTTGGCCTTCCCCTTCTGCGTGAACCATCAGCTGGTTCGCTTTTATATGCCTTCTGCGCTGGGGCATCTTCATTCATTCTCACAACATGACCTAGCCAACATAGTCGCTGTAGCTCAATACGTCTAACAATGTCGATGTCCGAGAATAGGTGGTACAACTCATGGTTCATTCGATGGCGATATTCACCGTCAACGCCGATCGGCCCATAGATCTTTCAGAGAATTATTTCTCTCAAACACTTCAAGAGCTGCCTCACCTGCTTGCGCAAGTACCCATGCTTCAGATCCATATAACAGCACGGGTAATATCAGCGTCTGTTAGAGTGTGAGTTTGATCTGGCGGGAGGTGGTCTTGCTTTTGAGTTGTTTGCTCAGACCATAGTAGCATCGATTGGCCATCACTATCCTTCTCCGAATTTCAAAACTGATTTCATTCGTTTTATTTATGGCGGTACCAAGGTATATAAAATCTTTGACTACCTCGTAGCTGTAGTTCTCAAGTTCCACAGTTGGTCCAAGTCTACTTGACGTCTTGTGCGTTAATACCATCAGCTTGGTCTTCTCGCCGTTTACTGCCAGACCTACTTTGACTGACACCTTCTCAATTTGTTCAAAGGTGGCTGTTACCGCTCTCAATGTTGGACCCATTATGTCGATGTCATCGGCGTAGGCCAGTAACAAGTGTTGTTTGGTGTCTGTTCACTTTTGTCTCTCGTATGACCTTTTCCAGCAGGATATTAAAAAGATCACACGACAAACTGTCACCTTGTCTGAATCCTCGATCGGTATTGAAGGGCTCTGATTCGTCCTTTCCGACTTTAACTGCTGACCTTGTGCCATAATAATTTTGCAGGAATGCCAAACGCAGACATGGCTATATACATCTCTGAACGGATAGGGCTGTCGAATGCGACATTATAGTGGACGAATAGGTGGAATGTGTCGAGTGTTTTTCATTGGTTCCGTGGTTTACTACATGTTTGTGCAAATAACATGGTAGTTAGCAGCACCAGATTTAAGTACATCGATATACACATGCCACTTGGAATGTAACACGGAAATTTAACGTCGAAAACCTGCAAACACAACAGATAGCAGAAGCCTACTCCGCTCAACTTACCCAACTGCTTGATGAGAGCACCCTTGTCCCGATAATAATATAGAAGTACAATGGCAGAGAATTGCCCACTCCCTACAAACTGGAGCAAAAGCAACACTTGGGTACCAAAGACCATCATCAAGAAATCCATGGTACGATCAGGAGTGTCGTAATGCTACTGATATAGAGTATACCGCCTAGCCAAGATGAAGTCAGAATAGAATTCAATTGACTGAAAAATAATAAAGCAGCAGGTGCCGATGGGTTACAAGCCGAAATATTCAAGACTAGTGGTCACATGCTGGTAAGGAGCATGTACCAGCTGATTAGTACAATTTGGATAGAAGAATGCATGCCCAATGATTGGAACCTCAGCATCCTGTGTCCTGTGCACAAAAAAGGAGACAAGGCGAGATGTGCCAACTATAGAGGAATAAGTCTCCTTCCCATCGCATATAAAATGCTATCCAGCATACTGTGTGAAATCCCGGAAAAAAAAAAAAAAAAAAAAAGAGAGAGAGAGAGACCTTGTTGACCTCTTACAAAGCAATAGGTCGGTCGGTGGTAAGCTATGCGGCGCCAGTGTGGTATGCGAATGTAAGCGATACGCAGTGGAAGAACATACAAACCTGCCAGAATGCCGCCCTGAGAACTGCGACAGGGTGCCTCCTTATGACGCCAGTGGACCATTTACATGAGGAGGCAATGGTCTTACCCGTACATCGGCACAACAGGATGTTGTCGATGCAGTACCTGCTTGGGTGTTATCGCAGGAATCATCCATGCCATAATCTTATGGATAGAATTCCCCCACCCAGGCACGTAAGGAGAGACCTACATGATCTAGAGAGGGAGAGGTCCAACGGTATAAGAGAGAACCCCTAGATCTTGAGGCTTATCGAGCAGGAATTACCAACATTCACACGGAAGCAGTGACCCAGGCAATGGACCAATACCGTGTGAATGTTGTACTTGGAGTCCACCCACCACCTATAGCAGCAGAAGAACGTGAGCTGCCTAGACAAACGAGAGTGGTTTTAGCCCAACTAAGATCAGGATGGTGCAGCCGCCTCAATTCGTATTGGGCCCGAATTGACAGCGCGGTTCCAAACACATGCCCTGCATGTGGATTTGGACCCCATGATACGCTGCATCTATTTAACTGCCCTGCTAAACCCACTCATCTGTCTCCGGAATCTCTTTGGACGCAGCCGTTACAGGTTGCAACCTTCCTGAACCTGGAAACAGAGGAGTCAGAACCAGATTAATACAACAAACATGAAGATAGTTGCTACAACAACAACAACAACCATGTTATTTGCTGTCAATCAATCTCATGCCGTTGTCTGATGTTTCTTCATGGAGGCTGAATTTTCCGACGGTGGGGCCAAAGATATTTTCCCTTCCGATTTTTGCATTAAAATCTCCTAGCAGAGTTTTAATGTCATGGCCAGGGCAACGATCATATGCTGTTTCCAGGCGCTCGTAAAATATGTCTTTGGGCTGCTCATCTTTGTCTTCGTTCGGAGAATGGACGCAAATGAGATTGTTGTAGAAGAACTTTGCTTTTATACGGATTATCGCAATTCCCTCATCTACTGGAGTGAATCTGGAGACGAGGTCTTTTATTCTACTGTTAACCATAAATCCGCAGCCAAATTCATGTCTCGTTTCATGGCAGCTATAATATTTGGCGTAATCATCTGATTTACTTACGCCAGTCCCTTTACATCGCATTTCCTGTAAGGCAATTATATCGGCTTTGTACTTCTTGAGTACATCTGCCGAAGGGAAAACTGCGCTTGTTCTGTACAACGTGCGCACATTCCAAGCGCAGATTCGCAGATCGTGGTCCTTTATACGTTTGCGGGGGTAGTCAACATTAGGAGGGTTTGTTTTTCTTTGCTTTTTCATAGTTCTTATGTTTTAATTCGCGGCACATATTAGCTCACTATTTCATCGGGTGATGAAAATAGCTCCTCAGGTGGCACCGCGGGGGTCAGTGCCCACAATTGAGATGAAAGAGGGACTAAGATAAGTCTGGGCTTCGCCATGTTAAAGCCAATCAGAACCTTTGATTGGTATCTATCATCCCCTACGCCACCCATCATTAGCCATAAGGCCGAGGGTATAAAACATGCCTTTTTATAGTCATTCAAATAAATCTCTTTATAAAGTGCTATAATTTGTATACCCTACACAACTATGTTTCTTACATATATTCATCCCATTTATAATTGTATTCATATTAAAATTCCATATACATATATTTCATACTTCAACATATATTCTCCATTATAGTTGTTATAATAATTTTAACATATTCCTTCTTGTTCTTCTCTTCCCACTTCCCCCCTCTACAGGTATTGTGCACCCACCGTATTATTATCATATCTCTATATAAGGACCTCGCAAGAATTGCGGCCACCTGAAGAACCATTAGCTGTAATGTTGTATGAACATCGAGCGGATATACGCATGAGACAGCGGTAAGTTTTATTCACACGAACGCACACACTCTCTTCCTCTCTCACTCACTCACACATATCCACTAAATTTAACAACAACAAAGGGATCCCATTCAAATAAAGTAGAAACATGCTGTGAAATTTTAAACAATAGGAAAGAGATTAATAAAGTTAAAACGATTGTCGACGTCGTCATAAAAAAGGACAACGAAATCCATCGTCCTGAAAGGCACACACAAAAGGACAATGCCGAATACGAGGAGGAGATGGAAGGAAAATATGTTTACATGACAAAACAAGAAAAAAAAGACATAGTCAGATTATGCCGTACAAATGTAAATACATAAATTTTTGACAAAAGGAATCTTTTGTGCGGATTCATAGCTCCGTAGCGTTGCGAAAAAAACAAGAAAGTGACAAATCTCTTGTTGAGGAGAGGCAAATGAATGAATGAATGAAAATGGATTCAAGGGTATTGTTTTCGGTGGCCATAAGAACAATACAGCGAAAGGAAATGGAAAACAAAACTTCGCGTCCTTATGGTAATGTCTATTTAACTTTAAGAAGGAAAAACAAGAAAATTCTCAGGTATATAAAATCCTCCAATGTTCGCCAGCTCTCCCTCTAGGACCTTGAGCATACAAGTGAGGAAACACTGTCTTGTGTTTCTTTTTATTTATGTCTCGTCTTTAAATGGAATGTTTATGTTTTTTCGCTCCATCTTTCTTCCTCTGCCCCTCTGCTTTCGGCTATGTCGTTTTTTTTCCGAACAATGACAAAGATGCCCTCTTAGGGAGCTGCATATTAAATTTATCACTTTGATTGATGTCTCTTGTATTTCCCACGTGGTATATGTAAGTGTGCTCTGTGCTCTAGGTGGTGGCCCTTCGTTTTATTGACAGATGTCAACAAACGGGGAATATCCTCAGTAAATACTTCCAAAAATAAAGAAATTTGATATTGAGGGGAGATTTATTGTTGCTGCTGTATCGTTGCTAGATGTGGCGATGAGTTTACGCATCACAAAAAAAAAAAAAAAATGAAAACATTTATCAGACTTTAAGTATAAAGGTCCTGGCTCGTTTCATCTGGCACATGCCCCAGTTTCATGTTACAGAGATATGAAGTACCAAAGAAAAACATTGTCAAATATAACATATAATTGTTTTTAATATTTTATCAGATTCACGTGCCGTATGAAAGTTTCTTTGAAAACTATGGTTTCTAGATAATTTATGTGGGGCAATTATTTTATACGTATTAAAATACCAAATAAACGAAGAAGATTAAGAAAAGCGTTTCACAATTACGACAACGTGACAGTCATATCATCAAAACATATTTTTAAAAAATCCACCCTTAAAGTAGAACTTGAAAAATATTAAAAAAAAAACCATTAATGTAGAACTGGAAAAAAAATCAAGTTCTACATTAAGTGAGCGGAGCAGTATAGTTGGACGGGGCCGACCATATGATACTCTACACTTACTTAGCTGGCTTGTGACAGAACTTTCGTTTCATAAGCCGAGCTTAGAAAAGATTTCCAGACGCGTCGATCTTTTGCGCAGTTTTTCCAATTTGAAAAACCGTTTTCGGCGATATTGTCTTCGACTTGATCTTTCCAACGTATTCTTGGCCTTCCCCTTCTGCGTGAACCATCAACTGGTTCGCTTTTATATGTCTTCTGGGCTGGGGCATCTTCATCCATTCCTACAACATTACCTAGCCAAAGTAGTCGTTGCAGCTCAATACGTCTAACAATGTCGATGTCCGAGAATAGCTGGTGCAACTCATGGTTCATTCGACGGCGATATTCACCGTAAACGCAGATCGGCCAATAAATCTATCGGAGAATATTTCTCTCAGACACTCCAAGGGCTGCCTCATCTGCTTGCGTAAGATCCGTATAACAGCACAGGTAGTATCAGCGTCTTGTAGAGTATGGGTTTGGTCTGGCGGGAAGTGGCCTTGCTTTTTAATTGTTTTTTGCTCAGACCATAGTAGCATCGGTTGGCAATCACTATCCTTGTGCAAATTTCAAAACTGATGTCATTCGTTTATGGCGGTACCAAGGTATATAAAGTTCCACAGTTGGTCCAAGTCTACTGGACATCTTGCGCATTGATACCATCAGCTTGGTCTTCTCGCCGTTTACTGCCAGACCCACTTTGGCAGACTCCTTCTCAATTTGCTCAATGTTCGACCCATTATGTCGATATCATGGGCGTAGGCGAATAACATATATTTAAGAGTAACTCACATCCACATCCGAGTACATACGACAATGCAAATGGTATCAATTTAACCACTCCTCTTGGATATACTATCAACTTCTCGGGTCTATGTCCTTCAGGGGCAAATAGAATACAAATTTAGTAATATTTCACACAAACCGCTAAATATTGACCGATCTTTATGGAATCAGGCATGCTAATTCTTTGGCCCAATCCCCTTCTCCCTATAAAAACTCGCGATGTTCGGGCCATAATTGCGGCCTCTGGAGCGACTAGAAAAACTGATAAAAATTAAGTATTTGGTCCATTTCATCCCCTAAATATTAACCGATATTTACAATAGGGATCTTCATTGGCCTCAACTCATTCTACATGCAAAATTTCGTGAAGATTGGTACATAACTGTGGCCTGTATCTTGTTTACAGATTACGTCCTTCAAACGTCCTTCAAAAAATATTTCTTAAAATTCTACACCTTATTAAACAATTTAAAAAAATGTTTAAAAAAATCTACGCCTAATTATACCATTCAAATTAGTAAGGAACTTTTAAAAGTCGGACGGGGCCGACTATATGATACCCTTCACCACTTTGGGTACATACTAAAATAACCTGTAGATGTAACAGTCATAGTATCTTTTTAGGACCATTGATATGGAATCGGGCGAAATTCTGCTGAATCGGGAGTTTGATGTGATGTATCATTCACAAAAAATCGGACGAAACTATATATGAGAGCTATATCTTAATCTGAACCGATTTTAACAAAACTTCGCAGACATCAGTCTGCACCTAATTCAGTACTCTGTGCAGAATTTTGTCCCAATCGGACAAATATTGGGAGTTTGGTGCATCATTCACATAAAATCGGACGAAACTATATATGGGAGCTATATCTAAATCTGAACTTTAGGCCAAATGAGTGAACTGTGGCAAATTTCATCCAAATCGGATCATAAATGCGACCTGTACTTTGTTAACGAAAATACATGGACGGACCGACGGACATGCGAAAATGGACTCAGAAAACGATTCTATGCATATTCTCAAATGGTACCATGGGTCTATCTCGATTCCTTTTGCCTGTTACAAACATATGCACAAAGACATAATACTCTGTACCACAGTATGGTGAAGGGTATAACCATATTTAAAAAGTGTAAGCCTTATTATAGTCCCTCAAAAAAAGTATACTGGCCACGGCTTTTGATAGACTATCAAAATTGATTTAAAAACGCCTTTTTAAGATCTTAAAAATATATTGCTTTTACATTAATGCCTTCTGATAAACATTCTAAAACCAATTTTGAAAAAACCTTATTCAAAATCTTTAAATGTTTATGTTAGAAATCTACGCCTTATTCATTTCCCCTGGTTATCGCATTAGGTACGTTTTGAAAATATTTTCGAACAACAACAAAAACAACATAATGCAAAATATCACATTTCTCTTTGCAATGGCCAATCTCCACTGACAAAACAAAAACGCAAACTAATCCGATTGTAATTTTTAATTAAGCATTGAATTCCAAAAGGACTTGCATTAAATAACAAACGTTTCATTTTCTATTCGTATCAAATCCTAGAATTGTCGTCAGATATTAGAGATTGACCAACACTTCAAAGCCATTCTCAATGTCTGTAATTAATTAGCATCATACGTACACACACCCAGAGACATTCATTACGACATACAACGATGAAGTGGATTTAATTGCATTTCAAAAATCCTGTAGTTAATGATGGACATTATTTCGGTACAGAAGAACGAAGAAGATGAATACAGTCGTAGAGAATGAAATTTCAAAATGATTAGATGTTCGTAATTAAGTTTTATTCGATAAATTAAGTTTTCTACAACATGAACTGCCAACAGGTTATTTAGATGGAACGATTTTATTGTGGACAGTAAAATGCATTGACACTAAATGGTCGTTATTTAAAAAAAATATTTTTGAAAATCTACCCCTTGCTAAGCCATCAAAAAATTATTTTTGAAAATCTACGCCTTGCTAAGGCCTTGAAAAAATTGTTTTTGAAATTCTACGCCTTGCTAAGGCCTTTAAAAAATATTTTTTGAAAATCTACGCCTTGCTAAGGCCTTCAAAAACTTATTTTTAAAAATCAACGCCTTGCTAAGGCCTTCAAAAATTTATTTTTAAAAGTCTATGCCTTGCTAAGGCCTTCAAAAACTTATTTCTTAAAAATCTTCGCCTAGGCCTTCCAAAAATTATTTTTAAAAATCTACGCCTAGCTAAGGCCTTCCAAAAATTATTTTTAAAAATCTATGCCTTGCTAAGGCCTCCAAAAATTATTTTTGAAAATCTACGCCTTGCTAAGGGCTTGAAAAAATTGTTTTTAAAAATCTATGCCTTGCTAAGGCCTTTAAAAAATTATTTTTGAAAATCTACGCCTTGCTAATGCCTTTAAAAAATTATTTTTGAAAATCTACGCCTTGCTAAGGCCTTTAAAAAATTATTTTTGAAAATCTACGCCTTACTAAGGTCTTTGCAAAAATATTTTTAAAATTCTACGCCTTGCTAAGGCCTTTAAAAATATTTTTAAAAATCTACGCCTTGCTAAGGCCTTCAAAAAATACTTTTTAAAAATCTACGCCATGCTAAGGCCTTAAAAAAATACTTTTTAAAGATCTACGTCTTGCATAGGCCTTCAAAAAATACTCTTTAAAGATCTAAGCCTTGCTAAGGCCTTCAAAAAATTATTTTTAAAAATCTGAGCCTCGTAGCTCCTTAGTAGCCAAATTATTTAATAAAATAAAAACTTCCAGAACAAGCGAAACAAATTTTTCCCGAAATCACTTTAACAACATGGTAATTTTTGTTTCGAAAACGAATTACATTAAAAATTCATCAACTTTGTTTTGCATACATTAGCAAATGCTAAGCAGAACACCTGTTAAGATACGTAGCGCAAACAGAAACAAAAAAAACGTTGCAAAGTTGTTAGCATACCTTAAAGGTTCATTAGCCATTGGGAGCAGAAGTGTACAAGTAAAGCATACTTTTAGGTTCATTGAATTGATGTTAAAAACACAACAACATAACACACACACGCACACACATAAACTAACAAAACAGCTGTAAGATACCGTAGCTTCATTTTTTGCATTTATCCAAATGGCTCTTCTGCACCACCCTACCTCTCTCCCATCGAAGTTCTTCAACAAATTGAAAGCTAACACTGTAAATTAGATGCTGCCACGAAAAAAAGTGGAAGCGTGGATGGCTTCTCCACCACAGAAAAAAACTCGCACACCATCTGCTACAAAAATGACTTGTCGTTGTTTGTTTAGTACTTTTTTGTTGTTGCTCCTGTTGTTGTTCACGAGTCATGATGTCTATAATAAACATACATATATTTAATGGCCTTAAAATTCGCTGGCTGGCTTGTTGGCAGGCAGTCTTGGTTTATGGTATGGTGGCGGTTGTGGTTGTGTGGTGGTCTTAACATTTATTGACAATTTAATCTAATTGCTTACCAACCACAAAATTCTTGTTTTTCTCCTCTTTGTTCCCTGTCCTCGGATGGAGGACAAGGAATCCAGAAATACCTGTGGATGATGTCACGAATGATTTAACATTTGTGAACGGTTTTGTATGACTACAGTACAACATCGCCCATGTACATAGATAATTGAAATTCTTCAAATATCTAACAGAGAAGGTGGCCTTGAAATAAATGGAGTTTAGAACGACATATTTTTAGTGGATAATTTGTCATCCTGAGATAAGCAGGCGTAAATATTTAAAAAATATTGTCTCAAGGACTATAAGAAAGAGTGGATTTAAAATTTGTTTACAAGTGCTATCAACATTATTTTTATACCCTACACAACTATGGTGTCAGGGTATTATAGCTTTGTGCAGCCCCAAAAGTTTGTAATTCTGCGAAATATTGGTCCTAGACCCACCTTTAAGTATACCGATCCCCATATCTCGACTAGCTGAGACGATTTATACATGTGTGTCCGTCCGTCCGTCTGTCCATTATAATTTGTAAACACGATACAGGCCACAGTTATGCACCAATCTTCACGAAAATTTGCATGTAGGATGGGTCAGGGTATTATAGCTTTGTGCAGCCCCAAAAGTTTGTATCTCTGCGAAATATTGGTCCTAGACCCACCTTCAAATATACCGATCGCCATATCTCGACTAGCTGAGACGATTTATACATGTGTGTCCGTCCGTCCGTCTGTCCATTATAATTTGTAAACAGTCCTCAGTTATGGACCAATCTTCAGTTATGGACCAACTCCATGTATGATGGGTTCTAAATAATGAAGACCGCTATTGTTTTTCTTAAAGTTAATATTTAGGGGACGAAATGGACCAAAAACTTTATTTTTGCCTGATTTTCTGGTCGCTCCAGAGGCCGCAATTATGACTCAAACATAGCGAAATTTTACATGGAGTACGGGATAGAACTAAAGATCATGTCTGTTTAGATAAAGATTGGTCAATATTTAGCGGGTCAAATGGACCCTGACTTTTGTGTGAACAATTACAAAATTTGTATTCTGTGGCGTATATATTTGCCCCTGAAGGACATAGACCCGAGAAGTTAATAGTATATCCAAGAGGAGTCGTTGGTATTCAAAATTGGTACCAATTTTATTGTCGTATGTACCGGATGTGGGAGTTACACTTAAATATTTACAGGTGCTTACGAATTCAGATATTATTTAGTAATACATTACCACAATGAAGGGCGGAAATATAGGGCTGATCGCTTTGAAATTTTCCATGAGATTTTAGTTATGGTCAAGGACAAAGCCTATAATTTTTGGTGACGATCAGATAATAATTTTGGGATGAAGTGGACCGAAAACTTAATTGTTTGCAATTTTTCGATTCGATCTATAGGCCACAGTTATAAGCAGATCATCACCATACAGCCCACGCTGAAGTCAATCTAGATGAATAATAAGAAGGGTTGTACTAATATTTTTGTAATATTCGGAAAATATGTCAGTGTATGGAAGATGTGCTGTTGACCTCTAATCGGGCAATATTTCCCAGGCTCGGAATAAACTTCCTTAGAAAAATAGAACTCCGTAGCAGTTGTGTAGGGTATCGTATGGTCGGTCCCGTCCGACTATACTGCTCCCCTCACTGGTTTAGAAATAGTTTTTTCTAGGCCTCCTAAAAGGCGTAGATTTTTTAAAGAATATTCAAAGCCTATAATAGGGCGTGGATTTTTTAAAGAATATTTCTTCAGGGCCTATAATAAGGCGTGGATCATTTTTTCAGGGCCTACTATAATGCGTGGATTTTTTAAAGAATATTTTTTCAAGGCCTACTATAAGGCGTGGATTTTTTAAAGAATATTTTTTCAAGGCCTACTATAAGGCGTGGATTTTTTAAAGAATATTTTTTCAAGGCCTACTATAAGGCGTGGATTTTTTAAAGAATATTTTTTCAAGGCCTACTATAAGGCGTGGATTTTTTAAAGAATATTTTTTCAAGGCCTACTATAAGGCGTGGATTTTTTAAAGAATATTTTTTCAAGGCCTACTATAAGGCGTGGATTTTTTAAAGAATATTTTTTCAAGGCCTACTATAAGGCGTGGATTTTTTAAAGAATATTTTTTCAAGGCCTACTATAAGGCGTGGATTTTTTAAAGAATATTTTTTCAAGGCCTACTATAAGGCGTGGATTTTTTAAAGAATATTTTTTCAAGGCCTACTATAAGGCGTGGATTTTTTAAAGAATATTTTTTCAAGGCCTACTATAAGGCGTGGATTTTTTAAAGAATATTTTTTCAAGGCCTACTACAAGGCGTGGATTTTTTAAAGAATATTTTTTCAAGGCCTACTATAAGGCGTGGATTTTTTAAAGAATATTTTTTCAAGGCCTACTATAAGGCGTGGATTTTTTAAAGAATATTTTTTCAAGGCCTACTATAAGGCGTGGATTTTTTAAAGAATATTTTTTCAAGGCCTACTATAAGGCGTGGATTTTTTAAAGAATATTTTTTAAAGCCTATATAATTTTTTTGTTGTACAAGGACAAGGTTAAGTGTTAAGCTAACCATTTCTTCAATTTATTTGCTCCTTTACAATTTGTAAATTCATGTAATCTTATTCATATTCACACCTGTAATGAACCCTCATCAATCAATCAATACAAAATAATAAAAAACGAAACCCTCAAAAACCACCAAATCATCAAATACTCATAACAATATGTTAATATTTCTTCCTTTCTTTCTTATATTTCCAGCAATTCATCGGCATCATCTGTCGAGCGTTCCTATAGTGGAGCAACCACAGCCACAATAGGTGGTGGCGGTGGCGGCGGTTTAAATGGTAACAGTCATCACAGTACTGTCTATAGTGGCCCATATTCCACAGGCACCGCCACACGCTCCTATGACCTCTACAGCGCTGAATGGGATGTTAATCGAGAGAAACGAAATCAACGTAATTTTGGCAGTATGGCTGCTGCCCAGGTGGTCTGTCTGTGTCCGTTGATGATTTTACGCTTCGCCCGTCTCTCCATGGAGGAGACCTATGAAAATCAAAAACATTTTGACTTTACCTATTTAATGTTTGTGTGGATCGCCTTTCTGCCAACGGTCATCTTTCCGTGCATCTATGCCTCGCAGATATTACCAAGGTAAGTGAAGCAAAGTAGACATGATTTGAAGAAACAAAGTAAAAGTTGAGGAAAAATGTTAAATTAATGTTTATTGCTTGCTGAGGGATATTGGAGGTGAATGGCAAAGTTTTGTAATTGAAATTTATTAAATATTTAAAAGAGAGTGTAGATGGGGAGGGGAAGCTCCACTCCACAAGTGGTAACAAATATTCACTTTCGTTAATACATTTTAATAAAAATTTATTTGGGCGGTCTTTAAGGAAGGCGCAAATAAGGAAACATGAAGTCGATATGATGAAAACAATTTTCAAATGAAAAGGGGAAAAAATCTATAATAGTAGATTGTAAATATTTTCAAATCGTTATTGTTAAGTTTATGGGTTTCGAGTGAAACAAGACTTTATGTTAATGCGAGCGTCGGCGATGACAAATCGAACCCAAAACGTTAAATATCTCAATAAAAGAACAAATGGACATAAAGTACTTTCAAAATAAACGACTCAAATATTGAATTTTGAGTCACCATCTGTTGCTGAAGGATACAGATGTTAAGGCACCTAAACTAGACGTAATAACTTCATATAACATTAAGTGCTATACAATAAATTCCATCTAGAAAATGAAAAAAATTGAAAATTTTCGGCAAACCTATTTTTTCCATTTCAGCCTATAAGACGGGAATTTGATATGGGGTATATGTCCAAACATAGACGTACGTAGAAAAATGTTCGCAAACATATGTTCTTCCATAAAAGAACACAGAGAATATAGCTTAAACCTTCAAAAGGCATGTCAGCCTTCAAAAACCCCTGAGTCGATTTATGCATGTCCGTCCGTCCGTCTGTCCGTGTAAAATTGTGAACAAAATACATGTCGCATTTATGGTCCGAATTTGATGAAATTTGGCACAGTTCATGTATTTGGCCCAAGGATGAACCTATTGAAATTGGGGAAAAATCGATTCAGGTTTAGATATAGCTCCCGGCTCATCTTTAGATATAGCCCTCATATATATTTATTGTAAATGGAGCCCTCATATATATTTATTGTAAATGGTGCACCAAAGTCCCTATATATCTTTCGATTTCCACGAAATTTTGCATAGCGTAATGAATAAATAGCCTAGAATGATGTGTATTAAGTTTCGTGAAAATCGGTTCAGATTCATATAGAGATCCTAAATATATTTTCGTCTGGTTTTTAGTAAATGGTGCACTAAAGAATCGAATTTGGGCCAATTGGCACGGAATTTTGCACAACGTACAGAAGTTAGCATAGTCTGACGTGTGCCAAGTTGTACTGAAATCTGTTCAGATTTAAATATAGCTCCTATATATATATTTTTTTTTTCTTCCGATTTTTAGTAAATGGTGCACCAAAGTGTCAAATTTAGGCTGAAGTTATTATAGTCAAGTTTTATTGAAATCGGTTCAGATTTAGATATCGTTCCCATATATATTTTCGTAAGATTTTTAGTAAATGGTGCACCAATAGGTCAAAATTAGGCCGATTGACACGAAATATTGCACAACGTTGTGAAGTTAGAACAGTCCAATGATTCAGATTTAGATATAGCTCCCACATATATAAATAGATAGAATTAGGCCGATTTTGCACAACCTACTGAAGTTTGTATAGGCCAAATATGTTTTGGTGAAATCGGTTGAGATTTTGGTGTCGATTGGAATGGGCCCAAAGAGTCATCGAAATGGCCGAAGATGACGAGCAATTTTGGAACAAAATTATCATGTCCGAATAATCCCATTTCACATTGAATGGGACCGTAAATAAGCAAAATTGCCGTTTTTACGCCACTGAAAATCCTCAGGAGATTCAAGAAGTGCCTCTTCATGACGAAAAAGTCACAGTTTGGTGCGGCGTTAGTGCGAAAACGGTCATTGGGCCGTTCTTCTTCCAAAATGAAAATGGCCATGCTGTTACCATCAATCAGGAGCGTTATCGCGACATGATGACCAATTTTGTGATGCCAATTATTCGTCGAAAGCGTATGAGGCTGTTCTGGTTTCAACAAGACGGCGCTCCACCGCACACAAGTCGCATAACAATCGATTTTCTGAAGAATTTGTTTCCGGGCCGTTTGATGTCGAAAAGTGGTTATTTGGACTGGCCACAGCGTTCGCCGGATTTGACGCCGCCTGACTTCTTCTTGTTGAAGTCAAAGGTTTACGTTAACAAGCCAAGGACCGTAGAAGAGCTCAAAGACAACATTCATATAGAAATAGCCGCTATTCCGGCAGAAAATATTCATATTCAAAAATTGAAGTAAACAAATTTATTTGGAACAAATTAAATGATTTACATTGCCAACCGCCAAATTTTTATTTTTTTCTTTGATTTTTTTTAACATAGGTCCGTCGAATATGGGCAACCCTGTATAATGAATTTTTAAAAAATACAGATCTCTTATTTCTTATTATCTACATTTTCCAGTCGATAATTTAAAATGTGGCATTTCGCATTTTTTAGGGGGTAAAAGACCTCTAGTCTGAATAAAAGTCCCTGTTTTGGCATAGCCCTTATACATCAAGGTTGCGACATTTAAGTTATTTTGAGGGTCCTAGCTACATTTTCCAAATTGATTTCAGTTATCAATTGTTTGACATTTTCCAATGTTTTTGAAACATTTTTACTCATTTCGAGTGCAGCTAAATCGATATAGCGAAGTGTGTCTCTTCACTATCCTCTTTAAGATATAATCAAAGAACAAGGAATGTTCGGTTCGTAAAAATCTATTGTTTCGCTCTAGTGCCCAAAATTATAACCCGACCATCACGTAGGAAATGCATGTGACCAAAAATAAGAATGGGAGTTTTATATGTGGACTCAGGTGGACTCAGGCAAATTGCCGAGGAAACAGTAGTTGAACCAATATTCGGGTGTATCTTCTTCTGGGCCCCTTATTTTAGTATGAATCTATATTAAAATTTTTCAATTTATATACTGCTAGAACCTTTTAAAGTCATTAAATAGTCATTAAAAAATAATTCGATGTGCGGAAGTACATTGACAATTTTCTTCGTAGGCTATATTGACTTCTGCATATCTGGAAATGCTTCAAAAGAATAAATACCTACCCTACCCATTAAGGAAGGCTTTTTTAAAGCTTTTACCTTTGGATTCTCCGAAAATACTAAATATACGACTAGGTGGACCAAATTTGATAATTTTCTGTCAGCATAGTTGTTATCCTTTGTTTTTATCCATCCGAAATTGCGTTCAAAATTCGTAAAATGTGATGATACCGATTTAAGATGTTTCTCAAATCTTGGATCTTCGTATTCTCTGAAGCCACGAAATGTCATAACTAGGTTATTAAAAATACTTTAAATGTGCAGGACTAAATTGAACATTTACTTCGAAGGTCATATTATCTCCTACCTTACAACATATTTAGCTGGTTCGTTACTGAACGATTGTTTCATAAGTCGAGCTAAAAAAAGATTTCCAAGCGCGTCGGTCTTCTGTTCATTTCCTTCCCTTCTACGTAAACCAACAGTATGTTCGCTTTTATATGCCTTTTGAGCTGGGGCAATCTCATTCATTCGCACAACAGAGCCTAGCCATCCTAGTCCCTGCAGCTCAATACGACTGACTATGTTGATGTCCGCGTATAGATTGTAAAGCTCGTGGTTCATTCGACGCCGATATTCACCGTCGACGCAGATCGGCCTGTAGATTTTTTGAAGAATTTTTACCCAAACACCCCAAGAGCTGCCGCTTCTGCTTGCAGGGGTACTTGCTTCTGATCTATATTACAGTACGGGTAGTATCAGCGTCTTGTAAAGTGTGAGTTTGGTCTGGCGGGAGGTGGCCTTGTTTCTAAACTGCCTACTTGGACCATAGTAGTATCTCTTTGCCAACAATTTCAAAACTGATGTCATTAGTTTTATTTATGGCGGTACCAAGGTATATAAAATCTTTGACTACCTTGAATCTGTAGTTCTCAAGTTCCACAGTTGGTCCGAGTATACTGGACGTCTTGCACGTTGATACCATCAGCTTGGCCTTCTCGCCATTTACTGCCAGACCCACTTTGGCAGATCGCTTCTCAATTCGCTCAAAAGTGGCTGTTACCGCTCGCAATGTTCGACCCATTATATCGATATCATCAACGTAGGAGAGTAACATGTGTTGTTCTTCTTTGCCTCTCGTATGACTTTTCCCAGCAGGATGTTAAAAAGGTAACACGACAAACTGTCACCTTGTCTGAATCCTCGTTCGGTATTAAAGGGCTCCGAGAGGACCTTTCTGACTTTAACAGGTGAACTTGTGCCAGTTAGGATTGGCCTGCATAGTCGTATTAATTTTGTAGGAATGCCGAATGCAAACATGGCTTTAAACACATAGAAATCGTAAAAACTCGTCAAAATGATTTTGACAAAATAGTTTATAAAAAAATATCCAGGGGGAATCTGGTATAACAATAAAAACGCCATTACGCGATAATGTGTTTATAAAATGTAAATAAAATCAGAGATCTGAACTTTTTTTATTTAATAAGCTTGTTATATAGCGCTTATAATGCTTAATATTGTTCGCTCTGTTGTTATGATATCGTAACAACAGAGGAAAAGCCATCTATTGGAATTTATCGACGTATCAATTGTCGTATCTTTATACTTTTATGCCTCTGACCTCTGAACGGATAGGGCTGTCGATGTGTATCCTGTAGAGTAAAAATTAGATAATTGGTGGATTTGCCAGGTCTGAAGCCGCATTGGTATGGTTCAATAATGTCATTGACCATTGGCTTTAGTCGTTCGCACAGCATGCTGGAAAACGCTTTATAAGCGATGGAAAGGAGACTTATTCATATGTAGTTGGCACATATCGTCTTGCTGAGGTATTCCTCTAGCCAAATTGTACTAATCAGTTGGTGCATGCTCCTGTCCAGCATCCGACCACCAGTCTTGAATAGTTCCGTTGGTAAGCCATACTGCTGCTTTATCGTTCTTCAGCCGTTTAATTTCTACTCTGACCTCATCTTGGCTAGGTGGTATACAATCTATACCGTCATCTCTTATTGGTTATGGGATATCTTCTTCACCACCACTATTTGATAACAGAAGATCCTCAATATGCTGTCTGGATCTGTCAGCAGGTTTCCTTTTTCATCTCTACAGGAGGATGTGCCTACCCCAAAGTCAAAATATAGCCCAATATTTAAAATGTTCTATCAATAGAGTTTTTATCCTCTGAGAAATCCATCCGAAATCCATATTAGAGCCACTCAGGTTGGAAACTGCGGTTAAGGCATTTAAAATGCATAATATGTGGAGATACTGATATAGGAGGACATTGTCCAACATCGCATTTTTAATGAACATTTTCTGTTGTAATTAAATCCACTTCAGGAGGGAAATCCTGAAGTCGATTTACCAATTCCTAACATCCTAGTGGCAACGTAAAAATTCAAAACCTTATTCGAAATATAGTTTAGCTATCACACCTACCCTCCATCTAGGAGATTATCAAAAATGTACTTATGTTGGTTCCTTTGAAATCTAATTTATTTTATATAAAAATCTACTTCAAGGAGCAGGATAAATGATGAGAGAGAAAAGTTATGACAAGCCAAAATCTCTTAAATTTTTAATTTCCGTTTAAATTTTCTACGAAATTCTGCCGCCATAAAAAATAAAGAAAAAAACTTAGTTTCATATCCGACAAAATATAGCACATTTCTCTCTACTGTCTATTTTATGATATTTTACACAAGGATATAAAGTCCACCATCATAAAAAATTTGTAGAACAAAATGAAACTTGTCATACCACTGAGAACAATGGACATAGCTGGTTGAACTAAGTTCATAGATAAGGTATCTTAAGTTGTCAGTAGTAGTTTCAGTTTTTACTCAGTTCTGCTAAGGTAATGATTAACTTTATAGCTTTTTAAGAAATTAAAAGCCTTCGGGGTGACAACATCCTTTATTTCGTTGTCTTACCACCTCCAGAAAATACAACAACGACAAAAGTGGAGGGAATAATAAAATCAAGTGGGCGTTGAACATGAACTAAACGGAACTTTTCTTTTTCTTGTCTTTCTTTTCATGCTCACCATGATGTCCTTTCTTCCAAACACGACAACAATGGTTATGATGATGTTGGCTTGCCTCCCTCCCCCTCTCTCCGTAGAGAGGAACAAGAACGTTTACGTGGTTACTTCCGTCTATCTACCAAACGCTTGCCCAATAAATCCAATGCGAAACGCAGCAACGGCTGTTTGGAAGCCAATGGTGGCAGTCGTGGAGGTCGCAATGGCCGTGGTGGTGGCGCTGGTAATCCCGGTGACATTGCTGGTCGTTATAGTGATGCTAATACACCCAGTTCCCGAGACAATTCAATTGAAAAAGATGAAAATACCAATACCACCCAGGCAACCACATCTATCATCCTGAATGGCGAGCCTTATGTGAGTGGTCTGTGTGGTACGGGGCAGAATGTTTTAGGTTCTGCCACTGGAGAAGCCATGCCATCCCAAAAGCAGGAAAACATTAAAACAGCAGTCAATGGAAAATATCAACATCAGAGTTCGCTTAACAAAGAGTCGGGAGTGGGAGCACCACCACCTCTAACCAATCGGATACCACCCCCTAGGCATCGTAACAAGGACGGTAAATCCTTAAAGCATTCCGATGGCACTTTGAATAATGACATCGGCATTGGGGTACATGATTCCAAGAAATATAAACGCTCCAAGGAGTCGGGGGGACATGCCAGTGATGTACGCATCAATGTTATATCGGATGGCAAGACCAAGTCATCATCAGCATCTGCGGCCAACAGGAGGGGAGGTTCAATTGCGAGTGTCGGCAGCAATGGCCCTACTGGTTTAGCAGGTCAACGCAAATTGACTTTGGAATCCTTGGATAATCGTTCGTGTTCCAACATCACCGCCTCCACGTACTGCAATGGCAACAGCAGCCTGGGCGATGATGGGGATGTCAGTA